CTTGGTGTTGTCAGTTTCTCGCTCTTTTCCAAAGACTACGATTGAATCCGATCACTTTCTTACTGTAGAAGCAACACGAGGAAGAATTTGGGTATAGAGATAAGATCGCCTTCAAAATTTGGTAAGATTGAAACTTTTCTTGTTTCAAATCCATTCTGTTTCTTGTTCAATTTCGCTACGTTTTTTGGTTAATGTAGCTTCCCATTTGGTCCCGTTTTGATACAATGATTGAAACAAAAAATCCCCTGAGTCTCTAAACTTTTTCAGAAAGAAAGAAAGCAAAAGCTGAATGGATCCCCACAAAAGGAATTTATGGAGCAGTTCAATAAATTAAAGATTGCATTTGGGAAGAAGGAGTATGATCGCTGCAGAGATCTCTTGCTTCATCTTGACAACGTAAAACTCAACTAAAGTGAAAGGTTTTGAAAACCAAAAACTATAGTGAAAGGGGTTTTTAATGTTATGTTTCTTTCTTTTGTAGGACTTGTCAAAGGTTTTTAAACTCGATCCACTAGTTGACCCATCTGAACACCTGTTTCAAGCAAGGCTACATGTCTGTCAGGGAGGCTTTTGACATGGTCGAAAAGTCAGTAGACCACAATTCGAATACAGTGAGCCAAAGCCATTTGCAGTTTTGTCAAAGGGATATAGAACGATCCATGAGTCCTCTCCTCAGATTTCACAAGCTGTTTGTGGCTCAAGCCTCTGAAAATATGGAAAACCAGGATCCCTAAGCCAACTCCTAAGTATCGTAAACTACAAACAAATTTCATATACTGTATGTGTGATCTATCTGTTTTTAAATTTCTCTTGTTGCAGAAACTAGAAAGTTTGGTACTACAAGATTCTGATTAAAATAAGCCTTCCTTATTCATCTGATTATCTTTTGACTTTGCACAAGCAAAAAACAGACTAGTTTGCTGTATAGTGATAATAAATGTCAAAGAATGGTCATCTCTCTGTTTTCTATTGTGAGCTCTGGAACTTACAATTAATATAGTTTGTTAAAAGATGATCAAGACTTGTTCCACTCTTAATTATTCCGTGAGGCCTGAATCTTCTTCTCTTCCCATCACAATCTTATGGCACATTACAGTACCAACAAAATCAAGCATCCCATGTTTCACAATCTCTAACCTCTCCGAACTTTCCATTACCGAGAACCCGAACCGCTCAGTCCAAGTGGTCACAACCTCTGCTGCAGCCGGTAAGACCAATCTACAAACTCCCATTTGAGACATTTGCTTCTCCAACTCATTCATCAACACTCTACACATCCCACTTCTCCTGTAATCAGGCAATGTCGCCACCAGAGGGATCTCAGCTACATCTTTGTCAACTCTAACCGCTGCCACCGTTACAGGCTCATTCTTTCTCTCGATCAAAACCGTGTAAAACCCGCGACCCACGCCATTTCTGTCTCTCCTGAATATCAACTCTTCAACAAGGTCTTTCCCGGAGCTACGATCTTTTGTAGGCTCAAATCCTTGGTGAAGTATCTTAACAGCAGAATCCAGCTTTGAGATTTGCTCATCATCATAACATTCATACTCATCAGGAGCTCTCATCAATGTCCAAACCAAATCATCGCCTACTGAAATCTTACATCCAAGGAGATTCTGAAGCGCGGTAAAACTTCTGTTGCATTGACTACTACAGAACCAGCCTCTGCATGAAACAAGACAGGGCTCTTCTTTTAAACACCTTAGATGGAACCTTCTTTGGCATTGCTCACAAGTCATCAACTTGCTGTTTCCCAATGATTCCATTGATCCACAGATATCGCAGCAGCAACAAGGACAGAACCAGCGCTCTTCCTCGGGAAGACTCGATAAACCGAGGCAAGTATGGTGAAAAGCTGATGGACAACCATCACATAGAAGCAAATCTCCACCCCAATGACAAACACAGCACACATCACAGTTCATGTCCGGACCACAATCCTCTTTTTCACCTTTCTCATTCTTCTTCTCCATAACTTGTAAGACCTTCTTCAAAGACTTCCCTATCCTCGGCCTTACCTCGCCTTTATCTTCAAAGCTATTAACCACAACAACATCAGTCGTCTTCCTTCTCTTCTTATATTCCTCCTCATCAATATTGAGAACAATTTCGATGAAACCAGACGAATGTGTCTTCTCTTCATTGGGAGTTTCCGCATTAAACGCAGCCGTATCACAATCCTTGAGTCGCTTCCTCTTCTTCTTACTTGGAATGCAAGACAAGTCAGATTTGGGAACAATTTGTTGTTGTTGATCGACACAACTCATACAAGCAGTAGCTAGAGAGTAGAACCACCTTCCTCTGGGAGATTTATAACGCAGCTCTCGTTTCTTATTACCTTTATAAGCGTACGAGAAAACCCAACCAAGAGCAGAGAGATGTTTCTTCGCTTTGATCGATAAATCCGACCGTCGTGTTCCTCCTTTTTTTCTTCCTTGTTGTATAATTTTCAGCCATTCTTCGATTGATCCTGGGTTCAGTTCTGCTTCCACAAAAACATCCTTCAATTCATACA